ATACTCAATGCCTATACCTAGTATTTTAAAAATATTGAAGGCACGTTTTTTTTTTATAAATAAAATCATTTTAAGTTCAAATTTATCAAAAGCCCGTTAATATTGTAGTAATAGTCAAACAAGCATATTTTTAATGTAGCCCAGTGAAGCAAATGTGCTGAGGCAGCTAAATTGTAAACTAAGCAATCGAAATAAGAGAGGAGGGCAGTCGTGGTACGTGAGTACTACGTCATACGTATGGTTTAATTTATTTGTGTGTGTGTGTTTAAATATTTTAATAAAGGGTTTTCAACTCATTGGATTGTTTGTTTATACTTGGCGTTACCTTGTATTTTTAAGTCCGATCTGAAACCGATTTATTTATGGTCGTTGAGGACAAAGGTACCTAATACAATATAATGTTTTATCCAGGTGCCTTTGAAGACTAAATTGAAACCAGTTAATTCATGGTCTTTTTAGTTAAATAATCAGAGGTAGAAGTATACAACTGAAAAGTGCGTAGGTATACCACAATATGTTCAAATATTATTGTTATGTACCTAGTTGAAAATGTATAAACATTTTATTTTTATAGCTAATATAGGCTTTGAAATGTAAAATGCTAGGAAAGTTTCTTATGATAAGATAGTATGATAGGTATAGTTTAAACTGCAGAGGTAAAAAATCTAAAAAATATATAAGAATTTTTTTCATGGACAGATGAATTTAAAATCGGTATGAAATAATAGATACCTATATAAATGAAGAAAAACGATACTAGTTATTTTTTGTGTCTACTTAATTTAAAAATATTATTCGTGGAGATTTGAAATTTTTAAGTCTTAACATAATATTATATTTTGTACACTCGATGACATTTTCAAATGCAATTTTTTTGAGAAATTAATTTCATCTCCTGCGAAAGAGATACCGATAGTAATACATAAATAAATATATAATAATATATACAATTTCCAAAGAGGGGGAGCTAAATCGCATTAGTTTCCATCTCCTGGATCAGTTACTGCAAAGCATTTATCTACTAAATTATATTTTGTACAGCCGTAATGACTAGGCGATGAATATAGATATTAATATAGGTAGTCAATTTTTGGTTTGGATTTATCACATATTCACATATTACCGACACTTTGTTTTACTTAAAAAAAGCTAATTGTGAATTGAGAGTGCTTATAATATTGCGTAGAGCCGTAGACAAAGTGTATATAGTTCTCGAGAGCTGACATATCAGAAATTTGGAACTAGCAAGGCGACAGAGCATTAGAATGCGCGTGCTATATATTAAAAAAAAACAGTTTGAAGACGACTGTGACGGTTGTACGTATTATTAATAATTATAATTATTACGCGCTTCAGCGTTGTCGATATTGGCAGAAGCCTTATATAAGACTGCCATGGACTCGACAATTAAATTGTTATTGAAACCAATTGCTGAAATTAATACATTTCTCGACTCCTTGCTTTCGGCCAGAATCAATATTATGTTAATTGATTAAAAATACATATGATTAATTTTTAAGACAAAAAAAAAATAAGTCGTTTTTCAAAATCAATTAATTTACCTAATGATATTGATTTAATTTATAAACCCACCCTCACCCCACAATGTTGCACCTACAACAGACACAGAATTTGTTTTAAATTCGTACTAACTCCGATACTCCGTGTACAGGATGTTTCGCGAGGATTTACCCATTGCGGTATCTTCCGAAATAATGAAGATATCAAAATTCTGGTTTTGTAATAGTACGTTTCAAAATGTTATAATTTCCTGATTTTTAATTTTTTTTTAGTTTCGAGAAAAATTTCGAACTATTACACTTTGTAGTGTTATCAAATATGTGAAACGTCCTTTTCCCTGTGAGTCTTATAAAAAAAAAAAAAACAGAATTATTTCGTGAGATATCGGCAATGAGTAAATCCTCACGGAACACCCTGTACCTATATAGGTAAGTCTAAAATGATCAAACAAGTTTATTTTAATCGTATCAATAGAACGATTGTGTAGTCAAATTTCCATGGAGATGAAAAATATTAATATAAAGTAGCGTGCTTTACTGGTTGCCGATACAAACACAGCAATAATACATTTAATCATAATTTAATAATGAAATATTATTTGAATTACTGAGATGTTTGAAAATATCAAATAATAGTTCCAGATGAAATCAAAATGCCCTATTTTCAGATAAATAAGTGTTTACCGGCGACTGTGGACATACGTTTACAGTATAGGTATTCAGCCGCCGGGACGGAGCTTTCGCGTACAACATATTTCAATAAAACAGAGGTGCTCCGATTGCTACAGATGCATTACATGTTGACAAAAGACAACACGGTACCTATGAATAAGTTGAATTTCATTCAGTTCATGGATGTTTTTTTAGGGGTGAGAAACGTAGACGCCGTAGATAAAATATATCTACTTTGTTCCGAAACGAACAGGGAATACATGACTGGGCCCGAGTTCGTCAAAGTATTGTCGATGATCTTAAAAGGAACCCTAGCCGACTTGATTAATTTTTGTTTTGAAGTCTACACGGAGATGATAAGGTCGCCGAAATACATTAAAAAAGAGGACGTGCTACTGATGGCCAGAAGAAACAGCATGAAAATGTGCAAATTAGTCAATATGGATGAGTACGATCAGAGATTCGTTGAATTCGTCATGGCCGAGGTGGACAAGGATCGTGATAATAGAATTTCACTCGAAGATTACCGTAAAGCTGTGCACGAAAATGTCGCTTGGTTACAGTTCTTGGGGCAAATCCTTCCGGAGTGCTCCAAAAAACAGAGATTTATGCGGTTATTTACTGATCGACCATACGTCAATAATATTGAATCTACAGCTGCAGCAATGACTCGGAAAAACAGGGAGAGTATTGCTAAAATGACCTTACTGAAATCGACAATTAGCCAAGCCGAGAACGTCGATAGTAGTACGTCTTTTTCCAGTAATTCTACTTTTTTGGTGATTAATCACGACATGTCCCACGTAACTAAAAAGAATCAATTAATATCAGATGGAAGTTATTCAACATTATTTTAAGAAATTATAGATGAGCGGTATACCTATATAGTATATACAATATACACATAATAAATGTGAGTTGTTATAGTAATAAACTGTACAGTTTTTTAAGTCTATAACTTTAACTATTTGTCAGATTATCAAATATTTCGATATTATATGTACCTACGTAATAGCCAATGTGTATCATGAAATTTAATTTATCCTACTGACCTGCGTAATCTAAAAGTGTAAGCATCCGAGAAGATTTTATTTTATTTGTACAAAAAATATATTTTTATACAAAACCTAGATTTGTAAGAATTTGTTTTACACTAAACACATTTCCAATTGCTTTGAAGAACCGCTATAGATYTTAGTAATATGTATACTTCCAGTTATATTTATATTGCATTCTCTATTCTAGAAATGTACGCCTAATTAATACGTCGTCAAACCTAACCTAACCAAATCCTAAAAGACATACAGTTTTGGCCAGATTATAGTTGATTAACTTGATCTATTTCCGATTTAACATTATCTAATTGTAATCTTTGAAAACATTTTAATTCAATATAATAAGTAATAGTTACTAATATTTAAAAATTATTATAAAAATTCATTGATCTCTAACTTAGCCAGTGAATTCATGCCAAACCCCCCTCCCCCACCACACACATTGTTTAAAAAGACACTGGTGTTGAGATCTATTGAATCCCGACCTGTATTAATTGGAAAAAAACTTCTCTCTTTCAAGTTGGAGAGTTTCTACACTGCTGGGCCACCCTACTCACGCCATTTTACGTCGTGTTTATTATATCTTAGCTATCAAATTTACTTATTGTAAGTAAATTAACTTATTGAGTAGTACTTAAATATTACAGATTATATAAATACTCTTTTATTTAAAAAAAAGTACTAATATAGATCCATTAGGGCATTAGATGCATAAAGCGCTCTACTATTCGAAATTKATATTTTTATCTATTATACAAACAAAATAAATGTGTATAGTGTAAAGAAGTATTTCGTTCGATCATCTGAACTATATTACAGAGTTTTCAATACTAAATTTTTTTCTGGAATTTATGTTAGATTACTGTACACCAATTACGCGTTTACAGCTGTATACGAAGTAAGAAATTACTAATTGTATGGAATCGTTCAGTAATTTAAAATGAAGTTTATGTTTATCGCTTTAATGATACGCGTGCATCATGTGCGCCCGAGAACAAACTCGCAGAATAGTTATAAATTATATTTGTAATTTATTATAATAAACTRGAATAGAGCTACCGAGCTACGTACGTTTTGTCCAGCCTATAATATTTCCTCGCGCAACGATGTTTTAATCATATGTGGTTGATAAAAAATTATCAGCATCGAAATTATTAAGAATATAATTATTATTATTGCCAGTTGATAGTTGCCATTAGCTGATAAAAGAGGCACTTCAAAAAGTATAAATCCATTCGCAGCAAATAGCAATAATATTAAAAATTCAAAAACTCATCACCATATATACATATATATATACCTATTATACGAGTAGCTGATTTTTTGTACCACTGCGTATTGTATGCTTTATTTTTGTTTACTTTTTATGAAAGAATTCTTATTTATTTCTTCTCAGTTCTCACATAGAGATAAGGTTTTAAATATTAATGATTTTAGTAAGCACATATATTTACAAATGTCTACGTGCAAGCCACGCCTGCGGCGATAAACTTAAAAAAATAAATATTTTGTCATTTTGTAGTCCTCAGCTRTGGCTAAAAAATGGACAAAATACTGTTAACTAATGCAGCTAATTATTAAAGCACATATCGAGACTGTAAGCCTGTAATTGCCCAGACTCTTGCCAACGACATTTTTAAAAACTATAGGAAATTTTAGTAACATTGACTATGAGTACTTACAGGTATATCAAAAATGATTTCTTATTTTTATCAGAATATTTTTTGTTTAAATGTGGCCAACTCCTTGAAATTTGTTTTCAATTAAGGCACGCGTATGGAATTTGGAACATTGATAATTATTTTTTTTGCTGTAGACTGTCGCGGAGGTCACATCAGATATTAGTGCCAATGACGCTGGTCTGATCGAGATACGTGTATTTATTTACTGATTAGGTATTTCTCTAAAGACGTTATTAATTTTCATGCTTATTTTATGTAACGGCCGTGAATAAAATAATWAAATAAGTTCCTTCTAAATAGCTAATTGACCGTACTGAATTCGAACTCTGATATCTCCGCGACTTCTTGTTAATCACATATTATTCAATGTTAAACTGCGTGTAATCGTGCGCGTTGTTTTTTAATCTAACAAACATTATTTTTATGATAGCAAACTGTTTCCTAAAATATACAAGACGGTCAGGCCTTTTCCCAAAAAAGAAATAAATGATTTGGTTCTAATGCATTTGCTTATCGATAATGCGTCATCATATCTGTCCGTATACTATTAAAGTAGACCCCATCATAAGTCTATAATATGWTTATTTATCATAATATATATGTATGTAACTAATTAAATACGTTRTGTTGCGTTGCGCAATATTAATTAATGAGATTAACAACTATATAATAGCGCCAATAAATATATATGTATATAAATGCGTTATTTGGACGACAAACACAATACTAAAATTGGTAGATAGGATAGGCACCTTTAATTAACTATTACTTATTACTAATTTACTG